AGGCTGCGGTGGCTGGGAGCGTGCCACTGCACTCCAGTGTGGGTGACAGAGTGAGACTCCAACTCAAAAAAAAAAAAAGCACAGAGTAATAGAAACACCTAAGTGTGCTCATCACCTAGAATTAATAACACATGTTAATCTTTTGTCTGTTTTTGCTTCACATATTTTTATAATGGAAACAATATGACAGACGAATTTTAAATTCTCTGGGTTTCCCTCCTGAGTCACACTCTTCTCTTTCTTTAGAGACTGCAGCTATCATATCTGTTCTATGCCTTCTACTTTCTGTTTTATACTTGTATTACATATGTAATCATAAACAATATTGTATAGTTTTTAATCACATTATAGGTGTCATATTCTATATATGCTATTTATCTCTTCTTTTGTCTTTGTGACCTCTTATCTGATACTCAGACATCTGGTTCAAGTGCTTTGTAGTGTTTTGTTGTATGAATACATCATGGTTTACTCATCCTAATAATTTATGCTGGGTCCAATTTTCTCTCTTACAAACAACACTGAGATATGCCTCCCACTTAGGTCACCTGGTGTATGTGACAGTCTCTGGGTACATACCTAGGATTTCGGGGTTGTAGGCTGTGCATATACTAAACTTCATTTATCTCATTTAATTTTCACAAATGTCCCCTGTGGCAGGGGCGTGATCTCCATTTTACACCTGAGAAAACTGATATGGTGAAATGCTATGTAACTTCACCAACTTAATAAGAAAGCCGGTACTTCAGTCCGGGTCAGAGTCCACTCATTTAAATCTAGAGCCTTAATACTGCAATTCTTAGAATTTCTCAACTCTTAACCTTTATAATATTGGAATTCAAAGCAGAGAATAAATGCAGGTCGTGAAGTAGGAGGAGGCTAAAGAAAGAAGGATCCACAGTGGCCATGCACCCCTCGTAATTATCGACAGTCTTCAAGTTTTGGAGTAAAATCATTCTTGAAATGGTAGGACTGAAGTTTCTATTTATGCAAGACTGATTCTTTATGATACAAGACTATTGGTTTTATGTTGCTTAAAGCGCATATGTTAAGTGCAACATGCAGGCCTACTCTGATTAAAGAAGGATGTTACGTGAGTATTGTAGAGTCCATATTTTACTTGGTGGGGGGTGTAGACCAGTTTCTTCAGGTGAAGAGAGCTATCTGCACACGAATCTTTTTTTCATGATACTTTGTTCATGCTTGAACCCTCTCTCTTTTGGACCTGATTTTTGCTTTGTTCTTCTCTTCAACTTTTAGGTAGAAAATCTTGTGTATTAACTGTGAAAATCCTAGAGCTGCACGAGGAATGCACCATGCAAGTTGCCATGTGTGAACAGTTATTGGGGCCACCAGCCACCAGCCCCTCCTGCAGTGTGGCTCCCAGGCCTGGAGCCAGCCTCAGAGTTCTCTTCACCAAGGAGACTGCAGGCCACCTCAGGGGTCGTCCCCAGGACATTGTCCACATCTTCCCTCCCTGGTAAGTACATAGAACTGAGCTCAACTGTGAGTCGGTCTCATGAGAAAAGACATACCAGGAACATTTTTGTCACTTTATCATAGAAATATGCCAGAGGAAGAAAGCCAAGATTCGACATAGGTTTTGTGTAACAGAAGCACTAAATTGTCTCTGATGGCTTGTTTTTACTTCTGTCAGCACATTTCTGGTAATTTGGGGTGAGAGGATTGAGGAAACAAAAGTTTTAAGATTCTTGCCCAAGTGGTGTATTACAGGATCTGGCTGTTTTTGTTTTTATCCTTCTTAGAAAAATAATTTTAGTAAGAGGTATTATATGACAAAAGGATAAAACACATGAATTTAATATTTACTTGCCAGTTACTTGAGGGGGAGGATAAAAAGCATGAATTAAGACATAGTAGGTTTTGAACCCCAGGAGCAAAAATAGTCATTACTGGATCTGAAATTGTTTTCAGGAATACCATGTTTGCTTTATTTTACACAGGATATTAATTTTTACTATGAAAAGAAAATCTTATTACTTTCGAGGGAATGTTTGAGCAGCTTTGTTTTAAAAGCTAATTATTAATTTTTGTTTTGGCAGTTTTATAAGTTTGACTTATCTGTGAAATTCTTAGATTGAGAATTGACTTAGAAATCTTTACGGCTGGGCTCGGTGGCTCAGCCTATAATCCCGCACTTTTGGGAGACTGAGGTGAGTGGACTGCCTGAACCCATGGGTTCGAGACCTCCTCTCTACAATAAATAAAAAAATTAGCTGGGCGCAGTAGCGCGCGCCTGTAGTTCCAGCTACTTGGAAGGCTGAGGCGGAAGGCTCACGGGTCGAAGCTGCGGTGGCCGGGAGCGTGCCACTGCACTCCAGTCTGGGCGACAGAGTGAGACTCCAACTCAAAAACAAAGAAATCTTTACGTTACGTTTCCCTCTCACAGAAGGGGTCTTTATTGTGTCCATAGCAAGCAGTCAGTATTCCTCAGTGTCCAGTGACCTCACATGGCTTTTCCAGCCATCAGTTGTGTGGGAGCCCTCAGGCCTCCTCACACACTTGGCCGGTGTGCTTGCCCTGCTTTCCTGCCCTCCTGCTGTCCCCTTTTGGCTTCTAGGTGCTGAACTGCTGGCGGGCTCAGCCTGGTGCTCTTCCGCTGTGTCCACCTCACTACCTGGGTGATTTCCTCTCATCTTGTAGCTATAAATACCAGCTGCACACTGATGGCTTCCAGAACTGCCTGCAGCCCCAGCTTCTGCCTCACCTCCAGAACTGCAGCCTTCCTGCCTGCCTGCCACTTCATTGCCCACCGGGATGCCTGCGTATGCCAAAATCCAGGGGCCTCACCTTCCTTCCTCAACATTGTCCCACTCTTCCCATCTCGGGAGGTGGAAACACCTTCTTGTTGCTCCAGAATCCGATGAGTCCTCTTTCTTTCTCTGTAGCCTCTGATCTGTCCATGGGAACCTCCTGGCTGCTGCACTTCAGAATCCACAGTCTAGCACTTCCAGCCACCTTAACTGTCACTACCTTTTCCCGGTTAGCGTGGTCTCTTACCTGACTCTGCTTCTGTCCTAGCCCTCCTTCTGTCTCTTTCCAAGATGGCAGCAGGTGCAAACCTGTGGCTAAACCTGTCAGATTCTACCACCCTTTGACTGCACGCTTCATGCAGAGCCAAAGTCAGAGCTTAGTGTGGCTTCTTCTGAACCCTAGAATGTCATCACTTGCTCCTCTTGCCTGCCTGTCATCTTGTAGTCCTCAGACACTCCACACCCCCTGTCATCTCCAGGATTGGGTTCTTGCTGCTCCCTGCGCTGTGATACTCTGTTACACCTCCTCATCTGGGCATTGACTCAGATGTTACCTTCTGAACGTGGTCTCCCTTGGGTTCTGTATCTAAAATTGAAACTGGTGCCCTCTATATGCTTTATTTTTCATACCTACTTTATTCTTCTCTTTCAGTTATAATAATAAGACATATTAAAGTATATTACTGTTGTTTGTTTGCTTAGTGTGTACTTCCCCATTGTAAAACTTTTAACCATTTTGTATACTTCTTAGGGCCTGAGGGCATTCAATAGGACTTTGATATGGAATGACTGGGCAGCCTTCTTGTCCTAGCAGTGCCCTCACCTCTATCTCATTACTATAATTTCTTGTATTCTTTCAGTTGTTATATTTGAAGTTCTTTCTGGAAACTTGTGGTAGAATCCAAAAATATTCGATTTTTTGCAGTGTTTCCTTTCAAATAAGCAACTGTAGTTTGTATTTTATTTTATTGTATCTCAACTAAGTGTATACTCAAGCTGTATTGAGTTTTTTACAGTGAGCCACAGAAAATGTGAGAATAATTGTGTTTGGAACTAATTTTAGAGACATTAGTGGGCTCTGGATCCCTGACTCTTGGCTTGTATCTTTTCTTTAAATAAACAGGTAAAGTTAAACTCTAGGAATCATTATATAGGTCCCTGAGTCATCAGAATTGCTCTAGATATGTGTTTTTTTTCTTTTACCTTTTTAAAAGCATTTAATTTTTTTGGTAGGTATTTGATATATATGCTACAGAATTCAAAAGTTACCAAAGGATGTACAGTGGATAAGTGAGTCTTCTTTCCCTACTCGTTTTCCTGGCTACTCCATTCCCCTCCCCAGAAGCAACCACTGATGTCAATTTCTCATACATCCTGCCAGAAACATATACCTATATATACACACACACACAAACCTATGCACACACACAAACATACACATGTACATATATATACACACACAAACATATACAAATCATACATATACACATATACATATATACATACAAGCATATATATACACATATACATATATACATACACAAATACGAAATCACACTTACGTATGTATTTCTTGTACTACTACTTCTTTACAGAACAAGACAGCAAGCAGTATTCTCTTATGCCATGCTTTTCTGGCTCAAAAATGTATCTTGGAGATTATCATCACATAATAGCATATTAGCATATAGCATTCCTACATCTTTTCACTGACTTCCAATATAGAGATACCATCATTTATTCAATGAGAGGACACAGAGGATGGACATATAGGTTTTTCCCCCTCTTTGGTTAACTCAAGCAGTACCACAGTGGATATCTTTGTACATACATTGTTTGCTACATGCATGAGGAAGGGCTGTGGGACACATTTTTATAAGTGTTATTGCTGAATCAGAGGGATGTGTCCCTCTTTAATTTTAGCAGACTTTGTCAAACAGCACGCCATAAAATGCCTATTTCTCTTCCTTTACCAACCTACTGTATTGATCTTGACTAAATAAAAAAAATTAGAAAAATGCTATTTATCTTTTAAATTTGCATTTCTCTTATATGAAGTGGATTTAGGCATTTTCCCTATGTGTAAGAATCATTTGTATTTTATGTTTGTGGACTGTTCATTGATAATTTTTTATCTTGTCTCAGACTGGTGGTCTTTATGTTAGTGATTTTTATTAACTTTTACAAACGATGAAAAAGAACTTCTTGCCAGTCATATGAGTTACAGTTAGGTCTTTCCTAGTTTGTCATTTGCCTTTTGAGGAGATTGAGGTTTGATTTATTGATTTGCTTTTGATAAGCAGAGATTTTGTTTTTCTGTTATTGATTTTAACCATCTTTTATAGCATCTGGGTTTTGTGTCACAGAGAAGACCTTCCTTACTATGAGATATAAAATTATTCTGTTTTATTCTAATTTTTATGAATTATTTTTAAAAATTGTTTATTTAAATATTTTGCCCCTTTGGAATTATTGTATAAGCATGTGGAGTAGGGATCGCAATTTTATTTTTTCCGAATGACAACTCTAGAGTCCAGACTTTATTTATTTATTTATTTATTTATTTATTTATTTATTTATTTATTTGAGTTGGAGTCTCACTCTGTCGCCCAGCCTGGAGTGCAGTGGCTGCTCCCGGCCACTGCAGCCTCGACCCACTGGGCTCCAGCATCCTTCTGCCTAGCTTTCCAAGTAGCTGGAACTACAGGTGCGCGCTACCATGCCCGGCTAATTTTTTAAAAATTTGTTGTAAAGATGAGGTTTCACCAAGTTGCCCAGGCAGGTCTCGAACCCACGGGCTTAGGCCATCCACTCACTTCAGCCTCCCAAAGGCGCGAGATTACAGGCTGAGCCACCGAGCCTGGCCCCGATGTTGTTTATTGAACATTTTATCTTTTCTCCATGCAATTGTTGTGTTATCTTTATCATGTATTAAATTTGTACATATATTTTGGACTATTTCTAGTACTTTTAATATAACCATATTTGCATATGCTAATCTATACTGTTTCAATTATTATAGCTTTGTATGGTGTTTTAATAACTGCCAAAGTTAGTCAACTCTCATTAAGCTTATTTTTTAGCACTTTTGTACTTAAAATTACTTCTTTTTTGTTTTAAAAATATTTTTGTTGGATTTTCAAATGAAAACATTACATATGCATTGTAAAAGATAAAAGTAGTTCAGAAATATGCAACATAGAAAGTGAATCCTCTTATCCCCACCTCTTGAATTAGTAACATTTCTGCTAGATAACCATTGCTAAGAATTTAGAGTATAATCTTCCAACAACTCACTTTTGAAAAATTAATTCTTAAATATTACATTATGATGTATTTAACACATTTCAAAGAATATATATAATCTATATGTAAGTTATGTAATCCTGCCTATTTTTCTATAAGAATTTCAGGTTTAACTTATGTACGCAAAAACTTATTAGAATATTTATTGGTACGGGTTGAATCTATGCATTCATGGAGTAGAACCCAGTGGCATCTCTGTCAGGGATCTGATGTGATGCTTCTCCCTCCTCATGTTGTTGGAGTGCACGGCAGCACTGTGCAGGCTCCAGTCAGCATCTCCTCTGTTACCTTTAATCTGTCTTTCCACCTTCAGAAATCTGTCCTCATTCAGATCTTCTGTGTTCCCACCTTAGTTTTACTCCTTTGTGGAAATTAGGTCTTGCCTTCGTTAGAGTATAGT